TTTTACCAGACTATAAGACGCTACAACCCAGAAGACAGCCATCTTCATACTCTTTGCAGTGAGAACCCCAAACCGTACTAATATTTAAGTCGTTTATCAAATTCTTCGTTTATAAACGACTTATCCGATTGACGTTTAGATTCAGGGATGTTTCAGAAACGATTACCAGTCCGTCTAGTATCACCTGTGCTGGAACTTTAATTTTCAATATGGCTGCTGTTCTTGACAGAAAGCCTACTCAAGTTTTTGATGTCAAATGTGCTTATATACTGGAATACTCGGTTAAAAAGTTTCAACCGCGCGTGGTATAATTATGCCATTGGATTTCATCGTCAATCGTCTGAGTGTTCTTGTTTAAAATGTTGACGTTTCTGAAGTTTGTTGTTGAAAGAAGAGCCTACTTCCGAAACGTCGTAGTTTTTAAACAGAGAAACATTTAGACCAGGCATGGCCATTTTTTAAGTAGCCTCGAGCGCGTACCAGTTTTCTAATAGCAGCTTTTTACAAATCATGTAGTTTTAAGTTATTAGGTACTGGTAGTTCGAAAAATTAATTCCGAAATCGAGGTTAATAGTGCCAGTGTTGACAACGTAATACACCTTGATATTTTTGCACATCTAATAGCTTGATTGCGTTGTTTAATTAAATAATGTGTTACAAAATTGTAAGCCTTTATACTTCGAGGATCTTTGGCCAGCGGTGGGCAGAGGGTTGCCTGCGCCAATGAATAGACTCCCAGTATTGTCACACAATTGCCAGAAATCTGAAAATTTTGCTTGAGTAACGTCAAACGATGGAACTAGTGTGTGTGATGGAAAGGATGTGGCCTATTGTAATGTACTGTCCGATCGTTTACCGAAAGGGAGTGATGAGGAAAACGGAACATCTGAGTAGAGCAGATCTGCGGCCCTGTATTGGAACTTGAGGCATGCCGATTACGAGGCTGAATTGCTACCCACTAGACCTCAGTGTTGATTAGTGCCACGTAAACACACAACAAGTTTTGTAGTGTAGACCTATAATAGTATCGGTCTCTCCCGTTACTCAAGTGGATAAACCAAAGTAAGTAGTTCTGTATTTGACGTGCGGTTTCTTACACTTTGAGCTCTAAATTGTTCTCTATGGAAAACGGAATTAGAAACTCGTACGAGGTGCGATCGGAAAGTGTCAAGACTGTGTCAATAAAGGGCGAACCGGATGTAGTACGAGCTTCTGCCGCTAGGGGGTGCGGCCTACATTCATAGTGAATCAGTGTGCCAGCCGGCATCATCGAATTACCATTTGTTTCTTAGTTACGGGAGTTTTGGTAGTGCATTACACCGACCCTCCTGCGATTTCGGAATGGCGTGTGCATCAAATTTTGCCAAAACGGCTACGGAAACCTATGAAATGCTAAAGCAAGCATTTGGGGAGTCCGCAATGGGTCGTGCACAAACTTTTGTGTGGCATTCACGTTTTAAAAATGGCCGAACCCCTGTCGATGATGACGAGCGTTCTGGACGACCATCTTCGAGCACAACGCCCGAAAATGTTACCAAGATTCGGCAGGCCATTCACGAAGATCGACGTCGTACCATAACGACTTGTGCGACATTGTTGGGACCTGTCAGCTGATTCTAAAGGAAGAACTCCACATGCGAAACCAAGGCTCCTGTCTGAGGACCAGAAGCAGAATCGACTTCTCGTTTGTCAGGAGCTAAAAGATCTTGCAAGAACCGACCCCAACTTCCTTCCTAAGCTCCGTGTGACTTCTTCCTCTTCCCAAAGATGAAAATTCAGCTAAAGGGAAGGAGATTTGAGACGATAGAAGAGATTCAGGCAGAATCGCAGATGGTGCTTGACAGGCTGACAAAGAAAGATTTCCAGGGATGCTTCCAGGCTTGGCAGCGGCGCTGGGATCGTTGTGTTCACTCCCAGGGGAACTACTTCGAGGATGATGGATGAATTTAATACCTGAGATAAGTGCACGGGTTTTTATACGCGCAGTCTGGAAACCTTCCGATCGCACCTCGTATGATAGCAAATTTCCACTTCGATACTCTACAAAGATGTGTCATTATTTTCACATTCAGGTGGTTTTATCGCCAATGAAAGTGCATCAACAGCACTTAGATAAGAAGGTGTGTGTGGCATGGAGCAAATGTGGGCGTGATGATGAGTAAAATCAGTAGATCTACTGCTGTCTGGAATCGAATCGTGGTCGTTAAGCCCATAGCGAGTTACCACCAGTGCCAGGTTTATCAGGACTCTAATAATTTAACGTGGCTTCTAGTTTAAAATAAGCTCTTTAAGAAGATGATTTTCGTTCAGCGGATCAAGAAACTTCCCGCTTTCTTATGAAACCCAAAGGTCATTACCACGTTCAAAAAAGCCATCTACCGAGCCCTATAATAAATGAATTAAATCCAATCCACAATTACACACCCTATCCATTAATTCTCATCAGAATGAGTTCATATGAAACAGCATTACAGTAAATAAATAATATTTTCAAAGGATTCAGCAGTCAGCAGAGAAACTGTGCTTACGTGTCATAACCGTCTTCTCCTTGTACAATTTTATTTATGACGGGTTCTTGATGTTAACATAAAAAATTAGAATAACCGGCGGATGTTTAGTGTCCGATTTAAGTGTAACCCCATTATGATTTCGGCAGCTCTGCAAATTTTTTGCCGATTTTCATGAAATTTGCCAATGTGATCACATCACAGAACATTCGTGGAAACGTGCTAAAATGGCGGCTGTGTCAACTACTGAGATGGTAGCAGGATGTTAAGGTACGCGGTGTTTAAATGCCTTTGTAGCAATAGATTCTGTGGAAATGAGCGACTACCAACTCTATTGAGGCTCGCGCGCGAAATGATTTTGTAGCGTTCAGTTTAATGGCGATAAATAATGAGTCATTGAAACAAGTACAGTCTGTGCAACAAATATAAAGCGAAACTGGAAGTGACGTAAGCGCACAGCTGGCGTTATAATTCCAATCATCCATAACCTTCATTTCTTCATGTCCGTGTCAGCTTATTGTGCCACAAGTCTTTTTAGCAAAGTCGTAAATATGTCTGCATAGTTTGAAGAAAAACATTAATTAATGCTAGTGACTTTTGTGAAGTCCCACTGCAAAACGGAGGCGTATACTGTAATTTGTTTGGCCATCGGGATTCCGTGGTAGAAACGTCGGTAGCGTTCATGCGAAGACATTTGCTTTTTCGAGTCCTCATGTTGACTAATGTTGTATTCAGAAAAATACTCGGTTCTGTATTATTTTGAAGGGCTGCGTAATCATTGCCCGTAAAGCACACGCAGTCCTGCAAATTTTGTTAATTAGCTTGAAGTAATCTTCAGTATTATAATTTACATTAATGCTGTGTTATTTCTGTTGCATTGGCTACAAGTTCTAGGGAAGAAGATTTGTGTTCATTTTCCGCGAATTGTTTATTGGTATTCATATTTAAGGGACCCGGGTTTGAATTCGACTGTAGACAGTTTTATTTGCAAAATAACTTATAGTTTACTTTAGAACCTGTTATCTTTGATATGAAGTTCAGAATATAATAGTTTGAATTGTACTTTATAATATGTATTTTATTATTATTATTATTATTATTATTATTATTATTATGACTTTTTCCACATCCTATTGTCATCTGACTGTCTTATGGATCCATGGAATGTAAATAAATTATTATATTATTATTATATTATATAAGCTTCAACCAGGGCTGTCGTTCGTTCGATATCTGAGTCCATGCCGGGACTCTTTGGACCTTTGGAGGTTGAGGCGAGAGGGTGGGTGGAGAGTGAGGAGGTCACTGATTTGTGCCATTTACCAAATATTATTAGCATTATCATATCGAGGAGGATGAAGTGGGCAGGGCACGTAATGTGCTTGGGGAGATGAGAAATGTGTACAGAATTATGGTTTGAAATCCTGAAGAGAAGAGATCACTCAAACCCAGGCGTATTATTATTATTTAGTGTTCTGTCTGACGACAGGTCCATATGAACAGGATCCTTCCATCCTTTTCTCGGACTGGGACCTGTTCATATACGTTCTTGGCAGATGATCCAGAAGTGGTTTGCCATTGCCTTCTTCTGTGTGTGAATGGGATGCCACGGAGAAACCGGGGAAGAAGCCCCCGGAGGAAAACTCCGTGTTGCCTAGACCACGGCCTTGCCCAACACAAGTTATAAATTCGGGCACCGCCGGGAATCGAACCCGAGACCCCAGGATTACAAGGCCAGCGTTACGCCGATCATATTTACGTGGCTTAAGTATACATCGATTTTTCTAGAAGCAATCCCCCAACGAATGCCTACATGAGAAACTACCTATTACTAGGTACTGTAACATCTCCTAACTTGTTTTCTGGTTGGTCCAGACAATGTAAACAGTCACCTTTAGAAAATCACAGTTAACCCAAGTATTTCCGTATTCGTGTTAAATTTGCGTGGCCTTCAAATGACTCGGTAAAAATAATTCTCTCGTAAAATAAACATTTCCAGGAAAAAAACCTGCAAGAACGGAGATTTTTACGTAATAATCTTGATTCGATTCAGTTCAGAGGATAATATTAAAACGAATCAGAGGGAAGCCATGTCTGGTGGTGTGGTTTAGATTCATATGGCTCAGGATAGGGGCCAGGGTGGGCTTTTGTGAACACGGTAATGAACCTTTGGGTTGCGTAAAGTGTGGGGAATATCTTGACTCGCTACGCATATTGTTCGCTGTTTAATGGCGACTCTGCTCTACGGAGTTAGATATATCTTGGCGCCTGTCTTCATCATGTTCGCTCACATGTTTTTCGTGTTATCGACATTAAGGATGCAAAATATTCTGAGAAGATATGTAAGCCTGATAATATTGTTGTTACTACGTTTGGGCATTATTCTGGCATTCATTTAACATTCACTTTACTTGTCGATTGAGAGGACTTGTCTAACCGAGGTAGCAGCGTACGGTCTACTAATAACCTTTAAACATGTTCTCTTTTCTGCAGATTGGACTGACTGAAGACTTGAGACGAACACGTCCCAGTGAACGCCACGGGGTCGTCCAACCACGTTTGTCACAACCTTAGAAGCTGCGAAATCTGTGCCACACGTCGGAGCTCCTGTCACAGAGGAAGGTAAGCTTTATGAGTTGCTTAATTGTGTTTTACTGGTTCGGATACTAGCATGCAATATCTGCTTTAGTTTATTACGCCGTGTCTTTTGACACATACGTGTTTATGTACCATAAATATGTACTTGAAACATATGAAGTTCTATGTAATTGAACTTGTAATTTGTAAAGACAAGTGCTGTTATTTATGCCTTTCACGTTTCGACTGAATGCAGCGATTTCTTTACAAGTTGTCATTAAGATAAACTGTTGCCACGTGGTTTTAAATGAATGTTATCAGGAAGACAGTCTTTGTCCAGAACACAGGAGATACAGATTAGAAATTAACCTTTCATTAAAATGTTATTTTGCTTGAATCAGGCCTTCCTTAGTTTCCCCTAGACCCTCGAATATAATACGCGTCATAACATTAAAAATGGCGAAGCGAACAGAGAAATCTCTGCATAATTTTATGGGTTTCTGAAATGTGTACGTCGAGTACTTGTTCGGAAAATGCCGGGTAGAATATCGAAACTTCCGAAAAGAAGATAGGTGTCCTCTGGGCTGATGCGCCGCGTAATATGATAGAATTAACGACGTTTTCAGAGGTGCTTGTTCCCTCCATCATCAGGACGATTCACCCTGTAAAGAGACACGACAGTCAAAAGCGTCATTTCCTGAGAATGTTTTCTAAAAAAATTTCAGGCTGCCCTCGCTCTAATGAATAGTTACGTTCCTGGAGACAGTTCCTAAAGCGAGTTGCTATTTTCGATAAGCGCAGTGTTATAATTGGAGATTTCTTTCGTCTGTTGAAGGTTTAATAACGGGGTGCTGCAAGATGTTCTCTGAACCATACGAAAGTGTAAACCAAGCAATGAATTATAAAGTAATCATCGCTAGAATCAAGTGAATATAATCGACTTCTTTGAAAACATAGCAGTTAATGAACTCTGTTCGGCGTAACTACCTGCGGGTGGTGGTTTTGTTATTTTCAAATTATCTGACCGTTATCTAACTTTCCTTTTGATACAGATTCGTTCTGCTGATCAAAATACCACTGTGGCTTTAAAGTTTTACAGTGCTTAGGGTTTTAACCTCTGCATTCGAAATCCGTTTTTGGAGAGCTCCCGGTTAAAGAGTATTTGTGAACGAAACAGTGCCAACGGCGGGAGTTTGAGCTCTCCATGTCGGAAACACAATTCGCCTATCTTGTTATGGGTCTTCACGTCCGTATTGTTTTGTCTGTATCTTCCTCTTGAGCTTAGCTTAGGTTGTTAAGGCCTAACCCCTTTGAATGCCTTGATGAGCCAACAAACACTCAAAACCACATTTGTATGGGCGAATTAATAGGAGACAACGATCTACTGTCTGTCGTTTTAGCTTGCTTAAGGGCGAGTGAAACTTTGTGTTCAGTAAAGAAAAATAATTGTGGTGCCTAATTATGGCACAATAATGGCGACAGGCTTAGGCTGCTTGTTGTCCTCAGAAAGCCATAACACGTGATTTTGAATCGTGTCGTTCGTGATTTGTTAAAGCGAACAAAGCTGCTACTAGTGCTAACTGGAATAACAGTCTTCTTGGAATACTCCGCTCTCGAATTCCTTTCTACTTTGCCATCCAAATGAGTGAAGAAGACCTTTGGCGAGACCCTACAGACACTGGCATGAGACAGTAGCAGGCCACAGGATGTTAAGGTCCGGAAAGTGTGGCAACAACAACAACAACAGAAGCTAAATCTCTGGTCTTTGAACCGTGAGCTTACGCCAATCTTCATAAGCCACGTCTCTAATAAGGTTGTCGGCCCGTCTTCGTCGATGAAGTGGCCACTTACAAAAAAGTTTCCTGACCAAAATTGTGAATACTCTTCTCATCCGCGGTACATTCCAGTTTCTTCGTATAATTCTCCGTGATAATGTATAGTGATCTGTATAAGGCAAGAATAATTCATTTAAATTACTTCTTTGGATTATTTTCCAAGAGAAAAAGCCTATAACTGGACACTAAAATAAACACTAAAAGTAGAAACAATCTAAATAATAATTACGGCACGTTAATTAATAACAGTAAACAAAATAGAAGTAAGCAAATAGAAGGTACCCTCGAGGGATGCAGAGTTAGCCTGCTACTAAAGCGTTAAAAAAAACAGTGCAGTGAAAATGAAAAGTCTCTAATTAGTTTCATAGGCAGGCGTACACGAATAATAACGCGGACCTATTCATGGTTGAGTGACAACTAATTTAGGCCTTAAATAATTATAACGATAATAACAACCCCCATGGATAGGAGCCCCTGAGAAACTACCAGTAGTACGGCTAGAAAAGAAATGCCACGCCTGTTATGAAACTCGAAAGCCGACCTCAACAGTCCGCCATTTGTACCTTTCCTGAGTCACATGTTATTATTATTCAGTGTTCTGTCTGACGACAGGTCCCTTGTTCTGCCCATAAAGAGCTCTCCAGTTTTCCCTATTCTCAGCTTCTCGTTTTAAATCCTGGAACTTCATCTTCTTTCCTTGTTTAAGATCGTCAGTCACATGTATACAATTTTTTCATCAGTAATATTGGCTGTAACGATGATGATGATAATGAGTGGATAAAGTGGTGAATAGATGGGATAATAATAATAATAATAATAATAAAAACCAGACATAATAATCAGAAACAAAAACGGAACTTGCCTCTTAATTGACATAGCAATACCGACTGACAGAAATGTGATTAAGAAGGTAGTAGAGAAGATATTGAAATACAAGGACCTTCTCATAGAAATACAGAGAATGTGGAAGGTTCAAACAAAAATAATCCCAGTAGTTATAGGGGCAACTGGAACTGTCTCCAGGTCACTCAGAACGTATTTGGCCAACATCCCGGGCGAACACGACGTCAGGGAACTTCAGAAAACTGCCATTTTGGGAACTTCATACATCATTCGAAAGACGCTGTCGTAAAATAAAATAATGTAATACATGTAATACATATTAAAAACAAAATGTATCCCGGAAATAGCTGCTGCCCTATGTACCTTAGGGACAAGGTCTGTCTCGGGTACATAGAAGTACATACCCCATAAAGTGGTGAACAGATGGAATAATAATAATAACAACAATAATAATAATAAGTACTAGAAATCTGTCGGGTTACGTAAAAGTAGCTACCAAAGCTGGAAGTCAGCTTGAGAGCTCTCAGCAAGGACCCTACGCGTGGCACAGGATTTTCTACATATTGGGTGGGATACCGGGAAACAGGTGGTCTCCGGTTGGAATTTTTTTGAATAAAACAGTGTAGAAGACCTTTAATTTCATTAATTATCATTAACGGTTGCAGCACTAAGGATTAATGGACAACAGCAAACACCCCCCCCCCCCCCCCCCC